CTCCCTAAGAGATATCATAGGGTATTTTTAAGATCAAGAAATCCTCAAAGATGATCCTCCAGCCATATTCAAATTAAGCTACAAGTCAACACAAACAGGTAAACTAGAGAAAGTTCACCTGTCAGGAAGTGTTGGTTTTAAAAATAAATCTTTCAAATGCACAGAAGAGGAAGTCCAATCTTTAGCAATGCAATAAGGTAATACACATTTGAACAGCGCCTTTTAAAGAAAAGTCAGACCAGGTCCAGTGTCATGGCTTGCTAGAACTACCTACATTATCTTCAGCAGATCCCTTTATATGTCATCCATAAAATAATGACACCAAGAACCTACCTTCTAGGTGGCCAATGAGTAGTAGTAAACTCTGGAATGCCAGGTGTTAGTGGAGTATATCTGGTAACTATTGTTCTGGACTATCTTATCTGTCTAGAATATATCACTTCCCCCCCAAAAAGAGCAGATAATAAGGTTTTGATTTGTAGCTTTTTGAATGATTAACAATTCAAGTTAAGTCAGAAATGACCTTCTGACCAACACTGAACAAGCAAAAATTTAAATACACTACATTCACAAACACTTTGGTTTGCTTAAATTTATTATAATACATTATAGATTTGTTACTTTAAGCAATCAAAAATAAATGTATATTTATACTTTGATAAATATCAAAAATTCTAATTTAAATAATCAAAAGTCCATTAAGGTATTCAAGAGCATTTAAAGGGTTATAAGTCTAAAGATTTAAGAAGCATCCTGCTAAACATTCTAATTAATACTTCCATATTTCATCTTTCAAAAGTAAGCACCAAACAGAAGTATGGCCTGAGACAGGAGGATGGATCTAAAGGCTAATTAAACACCATGCTTCAGATGGTGGTGTACCATCATACTCAAACCTCACAATTAAAACACAAAATTGGAAAGTATTTTCTTAAAGACAATGATTCTAATAAAATCTTTAAAAACTACCAAGTCTTCAATACTAAAAGATAAGTCAGTATGTTCACACGTGCCTATAATTCATGGAAGGTAGAATAAAAAGGATCAGGATTCAAGGTCAGCCTAGGTTTCAAGAAACTGTCTCAAAATAAATGTAAAAAGTAACAAAAAACTTTCAGTGTTAATGCTAATAAGAATACTTCAGTGAATTAGTGGGTGAGGACAACCTATTCATAGAGAGAAGAAAAAAAAAAAAAACCTGCATGTGCATTTAAGTATTAGACAGAAAATCTCTTACCTTCATTTTTTAAAAGACAAAACAAAAGGCCGTGAAAGTATTGACAAAATTAGTCAACTGAATTCTGCTGGAAGAAGTACAAATCTTTCTAAAGTAAATCTAGCAAGAGCTTTTGAAACTGATAAAAAAAATCTTCATATCCTCTGATGCTGTAATTCCTCCCATGGGCCTTTAGCCTACAGGAAAAAAAGATGATGAATGTGTGGCAATACAGTAACTGCAAAATCCTGAACATAACTGGGAGAGGCATTCTAGTTAGGCCATCCAGGACACCTAAATATAATCTCTGCACTACTTACAAATGATAAACAACTTACATGTCCATTTAGAAATAGTTAACTATGCTCTATCACATTGATTAATAACCCAAGGGCATAAAAACTAGCAAAAAAAAAAAAAAAAGAAAGAAAGAAAGAAAGAAAACCCATCAAATATGAAAGTACAGATTAAAGATTACACTTACACACCAATCAGTTAGTGGTATAAAATTATTTGGAACTAACAAGAATCAAGGAATTGCTTCTCTTGATTTTGTTTCTTTGACCAGTTACAAAACAAATGCCTTTGGGAACTGGTCAGGTCCACTATACTAAGCACATAGCTAAAACTGACTTTTTAGAAACATAAACCTACAATAATCACTTTTTGTTCCTAAAAAATTATCACAGGAGTAATCAGAGAAGCTGTTCTCACAACACACAAGCCATACATGTAATTTTAGCCATGCTATTACCCAGCTGTCAACCAATTATATTGAAGTCTCACTTCACCAACAGAAGGAATTGTGCAGGATCTCCATATGGTGACCACAGGCTCCCCAGACCAAAGTGCAAACTGCACCCCAGTGGAGTGGTGAAAGCCCAGTTCCTCCCATTTTCCCAAATGAGCTATCACATTTCTCAGTCACTCAAGGGCTTTAGGTTCCTAGGAGTGGCAGCTAAGGACCTGGAGGAGGAGGAAAGCACAAGCTGACTTCTTCACAAAGCAATGGGAAACACACAAACAGGAAGTCAGGAGCTGCAACAGAGATTGAATGGAGACAGAGTCAAGCTACTTGCTTTGTCAGGCTTTAGTTGCTCAAAATGAAAAAGTTTTAGAGCTGAACCAAATGATCTGTGAAATCTTTCAACTTCAATATCTACTAATATAGTCCTTCTCGAATAAACGTCACCTCTCTCATACCTCACCATGATGGTAAAACCTCTACTGAGAATCAGAGGCTAGGCATTGGTAGCTTATTTCTGTTATCATAACACTAAGAAAGCTGAGATGGGCTGCAGAGATGTGAGGTCAGCCTAAGCTGAACAACCCATTGTGTTCTGGGCTAGCCTGGGTTACAGTGAGACTCTTTAAAGGGGTAGGGGGAGACAAGATGGCTCAGTAGGTTAAGGTGCTTCTTGCCAGCCCTGGCACAGCTTTTTATCCCCAGCACCCATATGCTGGTAAAAGGAAACCCACTCCCACAACTGACCTCCGCACATGCCCATCATAACACACACACAGGAACAGGAACATGAGTATGCGTGAACATGAACACACACACATATATTCTCTCTCTCTCTTCCTCTCCCTCTCTAGATAAATATAATTTTTAAAAATCTTTGGATGTAGAATTAGAATAAAAGAGAGTAAAAGTGAACTACAAGGATGGTTAAAAGACTAAGGTTGTATTCCCAGCTCTGTCCCTTTCTACTCATATAATTAGGCAAATCACTGCACCTCAATAAAAAAAGTAGATTGACTTTTTTCCATCATATCTAGGATGTCATCCCTAACAGTATCAATTTTTACTTCATCCTTAAACAAATAAAAGTGGTAATGTTGGGGCTGGAGAGATAGCTCAGCAGTTTAAAAAAAGCACAGCTTTCTCTTCCAGAGGATCCTGGTTCAATTCCCAGCACCCACATGGCAGCTCAGTCTGTAATTCCAGATCCAGGGGATCTGACACACAAACATACATGCAGGCAAAAGACCAAAACACATAAAATAAAAATAAACCATTTTTAAAAGTAATAATGGTATTCTTTTCCAAGTTTTCTGATACTGAAAGACAGTCTAAACATGTTTTGCTTATCTTTAATCTGCATTCAAGCCTTTACCCTTTCACCAAAATGCATTCAGTAAATAGATTTTAGCAGTGTGTGCTGTAGCAACAAACTTAGTAAGACACTCAAAAGCCTGTGGGAGACATATTTAAGCAAACCACTAACTCCCAAATGACAAAGTACTAAGTACGCAATGGGATGGTCCAAATGGATCAGTGAAAACAAGAGATGAGAGGCCTGGACAAGATTCAAATTCAACACTTTCCTGAGGTCATAAGAGCAAAATGTTTCCTAGGAAGACATTCTGGACAGAGGGAACAGGAAGATGTCATCTGTGAACTGCATGTAGTGGCATGGAGAGGACGTGGATACTTGTAGATGACATGAGGATATAGGCAAGCACCAGAAATTGGGAAAGCTTCAAGCTTTCTTGTTATGGCGTATTAAAGAAACAAATTACAGTACAAATGAAGGGTTGGAAGTACTTCTAACCTAGAGATTGAGGCCAATGTTGTTCTGAACAAGAACAAAAACCACCATACAAGATCAATTCGCTTTAACAAATTAAGAGAGGCAAAACATCAATAAAGTCTGGGAAGAAGACTGACTGCAAACCATCCATCAATGCTTACATCCTTAACAATTATAGATTACATGTTATAAGGCATGTTTTGTACTTATCTTCCGCATTAAATGTGATTAAAGTTTTTTAGCCTAAACGGTGATAAGTTAATCAACTATCTAAATACATATATTCATTAATACTTAATGTTCTTGACCAAAAGTAAAACATGATTTTAAATGGCTACTCTGAAAAAAACATTCTCTCTCTCTCTCATATATATATATATATATATATATATATATATATATATCTGTCTCTCATTTTGACATAGGTCTATATAGCTTTGGCTAGCCTCGAGCTTGCTAAGTAGATCAGGCTAGCCGGGAACTCACAGAAATCCACCTGCCTCTGCCTCCTGAATTCTGGGATTAAAGGCATGCACCTTCTCTCTCTAAGTGAAACTGGACATTCTAATCTGGGACAGCAAAGAGTATTTGCGCCAGTAATTTCCACTGCTAAGGCCTACTCTAGATGATGAGCAAGCCTAATTGGCTAGGTAGCAGCAGAGATGAATTTGCAATTATTGAAGTCCAATGTCAGGCTTTATCGCCAAAACCACCTCAAACGAATGCCCCCCGCCCTTACTTTGTCAAGAAAGTAGGTACATTTAAAACTGCATAAAAATAGATGTCCAAAAGAAGACAGAGAGACAGAGAGAGGAAGGGGGAGCATCTAAACGTATTGATACGGTGTAATATACCAAAGTTCTTTCCCCAGACGTGTTTTAGGGCGTGTCTTTGTTTTGACTCAGTGATTTAAAAAAAAAAAAAATCCCACTCATCCCGGGCTGTCAGGTACTTTCCCTTACGAACACGAGCATCCTGGGGCTTCTCAGCCTCGCCCTGATTTCCCGCTGCAGGAAGGATACAGCCCGGGCGTCCCGCGACCCCTTCCCATCACAGCACGGCCGGGTAGGGGCGTCCGGCCTGCCCGCTGCACCGCAGGCAGCTCGGGAGAGGGGGCGGGGGCTCCTAGGGTCGTCCCAGACCGCTGGTAGCCAAGGACGCCCGGCCCTCCACCCGCCTGCGCCGCGTCTCGGAGACGGGCACCTTCGGGCGCCCCCGCGACCCCGGCCCTGACCCCGGGCTCTCACCGTGCGGAGGTCGCGCTGCCTCCTCGGCCGCGGCCCGGATGCGGGTCGCCCAGCGACCTGCCAGCCCGAGGATGGAACAGAGGCGAGGGCCAGTCTGGTCACATTCCCATCTGCCCAGCCGCCTGCCCCGCAGCAGCCAGCATCGCCTCCATGGCCTGAGGGAGCGCCGGACTTCACGGACGCCGCGCCCCCTCCCTTGGCCGGCGCCCGCCTGGACTCCGCCCTCCGGGGCCCGCGCACTACGCGTGCGTAGCCCCGCCCCCCCGTGGTCGGCGCGCAGGCGCGAGTCTCCTAAGCTAGGCCCCGCCTCCTGTCCCGCCCCGCCCTCGCGCCAGCCGTTCCCAGGCTCCGCCCCGCCACTGACCTTGCTTCTTTGGTGCTGGACTCAGGTCTTTCTTGGGGTTAACCTTTCACTCCAGTTTCGTGGCTGACTACCTCGAAATGTCCATCTGGCTTCAGATTTGCTACGTGACCACGACCAAACCTGTCAGCTCCTGCTCCACACTAGTAGACGTGACCTGAACACTGGAGCAAGCGTGACTTCCACCCTCCCTTTCTACATTTTGTTTTGGCCTCAGCCATGGAAACTGAATCTGGCTGAGATTGAGACCTAGCCTATGATATGGATCTGAATTCCATTTGCCAGAGCCCGGTACCCCTTTTCTTTGGGGCTTCTATCTTTCTTTCATAAGCCATCTCTTGCTTGTTCCTAGATGGTTGGACCGGTCATCATGCAAGCCTGTGGTATCTGGCTGTCTATAAAAATCATTGAAGGTGCTCTTTATCTGGCCCTAGACTGCTTGTTCTCCTTGCTAACCCCAACAGCTCGACTGAAATTAATAACACTGAAAGAGAACTTGAAAAAAACCACCACTTCTCCATACCACTGAAATAACCACCTTGGTAAGGGAGGAGTCCTTGTGCACCTCCCTTTGGCCATCAGACTCTTGAAACATATTCCAAAAAAAAAAAAAAAATTTAATTGAGGCATCCCATCATGGAGAAATGCAAAATGCAAACAACCCTGGAGGTCTAATGCCATCCAGAGGAGAAATTTGCCTCCCAGGATTTCCCACAGTTCTGACAATTTCTCAGACCACTTTACAGATTGGCTTGAGTGAGCTGAGACAATGGTAGGTCAGGGGTGGGCAAGAGACACCTTAACTAGGCAGCACTGCTCCATTTACGACTATCTCTTGGTGTCATTTAAACTTAAAGCTCTTGTCAATAGTCCTGAAGGTAGACTTGGTAGTCACTGGACCCTTTGTTTCCTCTGCTTCCCTAAGTGGCCATATTGAATACATCTCCTTTTTTTTTTCATTTCATCATTACTTGTCTCTTTAATTGGTCAACTAAATAATGGTAGGGAGATTTAACTGTGTGGATGGTAATGTGCATGTTTAAAATGCTGGAAAAGACAGGGTCTGCCTACAGTTCATTTCTTAAGATTAAATAAACCATTAGGAAAGCAAACACCAGACCCAGAGCTCTGAAATAGCCCCACTCAGGCACATCATTCTTGAGATGAGCTTACTAAAAATGCTTTGGAGTCTGTGCTACAATCTAAATTGAGAGATGGGAAAGAAGTGGCTCTCCACAGCCTGTGTCTGGGAACCAGACACAACGCTCCCTTTTCAACAGTCTCCATAAAGGATCTGAGAGGGGCAGGGTGAGCTTCAGTTCCCCACACCAGGAAAAGCTTCCCTTCTCTGAACAACTTGGCTGTTGTCTTGTGACTTCCTGAGTGTTTGAGGTAATTATGTGTTTTCTTTGGCAATTTGAAGAGCTGGATCGCCATTTCCCTTTCTTCTACAAAGGTAGAAGACTTACTGAGTGTTGGATGCGTATGAATCTTTCCAGGCTTCGTCTAATTCTCTGCATTCCTATTTTGTCATCTTTGTCCCAATTTTCTCATTTCCTTGAGTGTCACATTGCTTCTATTTCTATTAGGCACTGATTTAAATGTATTCCACAGGATTTTAATTTGTGGGGTGACTGTAATACACAGAGAGGTCAAGGTGTTGAAAGAAGATCTTTATTGCTGACATTTCATGAAAGATGGAATGCTAAGTCATGCGGAGGCATGTGGAGAAGCATTGGACTTAGGAGGGAAGAGACAGCCTAGACCAAAGCTTTTATTATGTTTATGTGGGAAAGGAAAAGAGAGAGGTAGGAATATCTTGGGAATGACTAGTGTGGATAATGTCAGAGAACTCTAAACCACGGACACCTCCCCAGTTGTTTGATAACTGACCATGGGTTATTTAGATCGGGAGAATACAGGCTTGGTTTGTGAAAGTCACACAAAAGGGTGATTGTAGTGTGGACTTACAATAGGCTGAAGACTGTCATAAGATTTTTACATGCTCATGAGAAGTGGGTTGCAAGGGAAATGCAAACAAGGGTCACCATTTGTTAGGATGCCAAATAGACAATTCTAAGAAAATACGTTCAAACACCATCTTAGAATTATGTATTAAGAAGTCTGACACCTGGGGAGTTGAAGGCTGTGTGTGGCTGAGGTTACAGGTGGGAAGGCAGACCAAGCTGGACATTTGGCTCACAATGTTTAGCATGCCTCAGATCCAAATAACACAGAGTGCTGGCCACCAGCCCTAAAATTTCAAATTCAGTATGCCTGGGGTGGGGCACAGGAATTTGCTTTTCTGTCATGTACCCAGAGAACTACAGTGCTACTCTAGGGAGGAGACATGGAGAACTACATGACTAGAATGCCTCTCCAACAATCTCCATACTGGTGGAAAAAAATTCTCCAACTCCTGATAAGACATAAAGGTCTAAGGATCTAAGTGTCACGTGTCATGTGAAAAAATATCACAACTGTGTCAACCTTTGACCAGTAAAGAACAGCTGAGAGAGCTGGAGTATGACCCAAGCCCATGAGCTGGGAAGGACTGATGATGAAGAGTCGGAGGCAGAGGGTACAAACTGCAATGATAGGAATGCACATTTCCTTGTGTTTTTTTTTTATTTCTCAGTTTACTGAGTAGTGTCAGAGCAGACATGGAAAGCCAAGTGATCCTGCAGGGTTGCATCATAGAACAGCTTCTTAACAACTGGAATGAACAATGATGGTTGGGCGAACTCAGCAGGCAAGTGCGCCACCAAGCCTGGCAACCCAAGTTTCATCCCAGAAATTGCAGATTTTAGAGGAAAGAAATGACTTTTATAAGTTGTTTTCTGGCTTCCGTGTGTATGTGCTATGGCACATGTGTGCCCATATACATGCACATGCATGCATACACTTAATAATGTTTTTTTCTTAAATTAAACAAAACCTTTAGCTTTCAAATAACAAGATAATGCAGAATATGCCCATTAAGTCTAGTGGGAGGTTGTTGGGGATGAGGGGAAATAGAGAAGAATAAATTATAGAGATCTGTGTGGTGTTGAGTCTAGAGAACAGTAGGTGAGCATATCCTACAATTTTATTATAAATTTTTCATCAGATTGAACAGAAGATATATATATATAAAATATATGTACATACATATAATATATATACACATGTGCATGCATGTGTGTATGTTATGTTAAAGTATTGTATATTCTCAAATACATAACTTGAAATCGCTTCCCTGGAGAGTCTTTTTAGAGTAAGGGTCTTCAGAAATTACAAATGAACAAGATTATGAGGCCCTCATGGAGCCATTAATGCCCTTTTATAAAGGAAGAATTGGGCTGGTGAAATAGCTCAGCATGAACAGGCACTCACTGCCCAGTCTGACAACCTAATGACCTGAGTTTGATCCCCAAAAGCAATATGATGGAATAGGAGAACTGACTTCTACAGGCTATCCTCTGCTCTCTACATGGGCACTGTAGCATGCAAAGAACTGAGCAAGAAGTCATGTTGCAAAAATATGAATAGATGTTTGGTTTTATTTTTTCATAAAGAAAGAAAGACTCTTAAAAGGCAAGAGAGCCCTTGGAAATGAAAGATATGGAAACCCAATAGAAGAAATAAGGGGAAAGTTTGAAGAAACCTGTAAACTGGAACCAACAGTAAAAGACTGAAAATAACAGGAAGGGGGAGACTTATTTAATTGACTCCTAAGGACGGCCCAATTATTTGATTATTTACTAATAAGTTCCTCGTGAGGATGGGACTCAGGAAGTCAGGAGTCAGGATTCCAAGCAGTTCTCCCAAGAGTATTTTGGACAGGCACCATTTCCTCTGGTGCTTCTCAGGCAGCTCTAGTGTGCTGCCAATGGTAACCCTCCTAGATAATCTACCAAAGCCCCCATGCAACCATCTTAATATTCAGACCTAGTCTAGTCGAGGCTACAAGAGACAGCTGGGACCTCTTAAGGATGGGCCAGGTTCCACCCCACCCCCATCCTGTCTCCTACTCCCAGACAGTTCTTAGTGTTCCAGCCCTAAATCTGCCTGTCACTGGGCAGCAAATAGTTTGTTTCTCTTCTCTCTTAAGTTATAAAGTCCTTTCAAGCAAAGCTTCTCAAAAATGATTTACAGCTATGAACACAGTGGAAGGGGCTTCAAAGCTGAGGAAGGCTTTCCAATGCTTAAAATCACAGTGACCAACCTCTCCTAGAAGAGGAAATGCCTTCACTCCTCCTTATGAGTCACTTAGTGTTCCTAAGAAGGGACAGTTGCTACTTGCTAAAGCCACACAGACTTCACTGTGGCTCGTGGCTTTAGCTTTTAAACCTAGGATAAAATCTACCATTCCACATGGCTCTGATAGCAGGTGCAATAGGCAGACTTGTGCCAACACAGAAACTAGCTAGGATGGCATATGCCTGTAATCTTAGCATTCAGGGGGAAGAAGGAGGCAGGCATGAGGGCCATGAGATCAAGACCAGTCTGGGCTATGTAGCAGGACCCTGTTTTTATCTAGAGAGAGGGGTTCTTTGTGTGAAAATCTAAGTTTGTTGATTTTGGGTGGGAAGGCTTCGTGGGAAGGACAACCCTTAGGCTGAGCATCTAGCTTACAATACTGTCTGACACTTGCCACTGAAACTTTCTATGCCCCAGTTTTCATACCTTCACATGAGAACTAAATGAAGTTGTTCTGTGATTTCAATGAGCAAACATATATAAGCCTTGGAACAATGCCTGGCACATAGAAAATGCTCAGTAACTAGATACAATTTTAACATGCTCCCATTGATACAAAAGTTGTAAAATGCGAAACAGAGAGAAGTTTATTTACACTCCTAGCCAGGCAGACATTAATTTGCCATT